TAGGTGAATAGATGCTAAGTGATGTGCAACACTTTTATGCCCTTATCACCCCCTCAAATAGATAACTGTACACCCCCTGACAATGCCTTTATCTTCCGTTCTTCATAGGCTGGCACCATCTTTGTTTATATCTCGTACAGGGTCATCATTGCAGACGTGTGGGTGAGGAGTTCATCTCTGGATCACTAAGGAAAAGTATAGCAAATGGATCCGCTTTTGTATTTTTTATATATAACAGGCTAGGTTATTATCCGTTTTGCTCAAACAGGACTCAGGTTATAACTTTTTTTTTTTTATATCATCTTGCCTTTGTTCCATTTTGGATATAAGGTGCACCATAACAAAGAATTAAACACTTCATTTAATTTGTTCCACAAAACAAGAGGGTTCAATACCTTCATTATGCCAAAACACAGACCTTGCTCCTGGTATGCCTGGCTTCTGCCATAACCAATAATGCATGACCTGGGCCAATTCGACCACAAATATTGTCAGCTCAGGCAGCACCATTTAGAGGTAGCATGCAAAATCTGTACCCCTGTATCGAGACTATAAAAAACAGTCAAAGTCAATGTAGGCGAAAGTGCAAATCGTTAGAGAAAGAAAGTCCAAAGTTAAGCGCTCTCATGGGATCTGGGTTTGTTACATGGGTGTGCGGCTCCTAGTAAGTATAGGCCATGGTTTCCGACATGTGTACAGTGGTAACAAAAGGCCGAAGCGCAACTACCTAGCGCAGTGATTAGGGGTGATTGGACACGGAGTATAGGAGTATGGACAGTCTTATACTCACTACTGGGGGTTGGACATGGGCTCCAGTTATGGATGCGCCGTTAGGCTCATGACGCTGTTGCGTGGAGGTGCTTTGTTGGTCCTCAGTAGTGGCGGCATTTGGAAACCTTACGGTGAGTTGAAAAAACACATTTGTTTTACCAACATCCAGAATTCTTACTCTTGCTGTTATTTCCTACTTGGTTTCCAAACCCGCCACCACTGAACACCAACAAAGTCCCACCACGCAACAGCATCATGAGCCCAACGACGCATACATAACAGGAGGCCATGTCCAACCCCCAGAAGTGAGAATAAGACTGTCCATACTCCTTCACTCCGTGCCCAATCACACCCAATCACGGTGTATGTGCAAAACAGATTCTAATCCTGGCTGGAACACTGTACATAAAATATATTAAACCACTTAAAAAGTGATCCCTGCTTTCACACCAATTTACAGAAGACATTGAATTAAAATAGACTCCCTCTTATCAGCTTAAAGGGGCTGTTCATTTTTAAAAATGAATACAACTACAAGTAAAATCACAGACTTTGTATTGAAAATATCTACACTTAAACCGGAATACATAAATTACATGTTCTTCTTTCTTTTTAAAGGAGAACTATGGGGTCAGTGTTTTTCCCCATAGTTCTCCTTAGGGTAACGGGAGGACACAAACTAGCATCCTCCCGTTACCCTAAGCTCAGTATACCGCGAGCTACAGCTCGCGGTATACTGAGACGCCGGAGCGGATCGCGACTTAGACGACGGGATCCGCCCAGCTGCGTGAGTGACAGCTGGCTCTGCCAAGAGTTTGACGTGCACAAGAAGTCTTAATTTATTAAACAATCCCCGCACAACTTACTGTATCCCCCATATTGCCTTAAATAAATGGAATCAACACGGGATTACCCATATAAGGGATCTTTATTCCTCCAACGACACCTTAAAATCACTAGCATTATTGTCTCAATACAATATCCCGAAAGTGGAATTCCACCGTTATTACCAAATTATACACTTTCTACAAAAAAAAAATTCTTAGGGAACACTTTGGGCTTCATTAAGACTACTCACATGCTAAAATGGGAACGACAATTGGGAATTATATTCTCTGAGCAACAATGGTTGAAAGCCATTCCTATTTCCTATACAAGCACCCAATGTGCCTCTCATTGGGAAGCGTTTTACAAAATGCTCCAAAGATGGTACCATACACCTTATAAGTTGTCCAAATTCTCCAGCTCCCAATCACCAAATTGTTGGAGATTGTGTGGCGACATTGGATCCCTAGCCCATACATTTTGGCACTGTAAAAAATTAAGCTCCTTTTGGAATGAAGTATTCCAGCTAATTTCCAAATTTACTTCCACACCTATCTCGCCTTCTATTTCCCTAGCATTGCTTCATATCGACCTGCACCTACTTCCCCCATGCTCTAGAGTTATCGTTTCCCATATTCTATATGCAGCAAAGTCTTTAATCTCACGGCAATGGCTTTCCCCCTCTCCCCCTAACTTCTTAGAAGTGATCCAAAGGACCAATCTACAATGCTCCTACGAACGTATGTACGCATACAAAAATCACACTTTTCATCGTTTTCATAGACAATGGAATAAATGGCTCACAAGCCCCTTTTACTCACGTTGACCATACATATACAAGTGTATTTCGTAGTTTCGTTTCTGAATTCCTTTTTTTCTCTAGTTGGTTTGTATAGTTTTGTCTGATACAGGTGTCCCTGAACGCATTATGTCATTTTTTACTGTGTTCTACTCTCTATACTGCATCTATGACATAGATTCCAATGCATGACCATTTATTAGTATGTACCAACGTGACAGTTATGTATTCAAATATCCTGTATCGAGGCTGTTTTGTCTTCTTTATGTTGAACGATGTATAACAGAAACATTTCAATAAAAGAAATATTGTTGGGAAAAAAAAAACAATCCCTGCACACGTATTCCCTCCCACTGCAATATTAGACTCCAGCTGCTTTAACCTTTACCCATACTAATTTTCCACTGAGTGTTTCCTTATCTGCATCTACTGGTTGATCACAGCCCCGATATTACTTTACGGTACTTTCTGTGCTGGGTTCACCCCTCCCTCCTTCTCAATCGCCTTATCTGCAGTAATGAACTCTTCCAGACAAACAGCCAGCAAATTGCTCGGCTTTGTCCTAATGATTATGAGGGACAGAGAGGAAATTAATATGCAGAATCATATTCAGTTCAGCGCAGGGATACCTCAGGTATTGTTCAGAGAACAGCTACTGTGGCGGCCTAGGCTAGCACAACACAAGAAAACATCTCGAAAAAAAAAAAAACATTTAAAGGATTCTTTGCAGTGTGTGCTTTCTGATCTAGATTCAATGGAATGTTCTATAATTTCCCATTTCTTCGTTTGTTTAACAGAGCTTTTTGAACTCCTTTGTTGAGGCAATGTAAGAAGCTGTTGTAAAGGCGGCACTGAGGGCCAATGTGCCATAAAAAAAAAACGAAGGCAAAACAATATTCTCTCCCAGCACAATGGAATCAGCTATGAATTGACTCAAGTTTAGTGATGAGTTGGTCTAAAAGGGAGTTAATGTACCTTTCAGCATCAGTGCTTGTAACCGAATACTGTTATTAAGGGTGTAATAAAAATGCTTAAAACTAGTACACTTATGGTGACGTTTATTTGCCATTCCAACATTAAAGCAATTTATGAATATGTATAGTAAGCCAATTAATTGAAAGGGCCTGAACGGTGAAAACTGTGCCTCAAAAAAAAGGTAAGCAGAGGGAACAGGATTAGTCACCAGAATTACTCGCAATAGGCGACAGAATTACTTGCATCAGCCTGTAGATCTATTTATTACAGTGCCAACAATTTACGCAGCGCTTTACATAGTTGCACATTCACATCAGTCCTTGCCCTCAAGGGGCTTACAATCTAAGGTCGCCATCGCACACACATACAGGGCCAATTTAGACAGGAACAATTAACCTTCCAGCATGTCTTAGTAATTAGGGGAAGATCATCTACCGGCACCCAGGTAGATGGCAGGCAGGGATCATCTACCGGCAGGGAGAACGATGCAGTGCAGGTTTCCAGGTACAGCATTCATTCCAACAAGGCAAACCGTGAATGGCATTGGAGTGAAACGAGCAAATCTCACTCCAAATCTGTCAAAACTAGTCAGAGGTACAGTGACTTAGATTTCACACTGCAGATATACAGATTGGAATCTCAAAGTACAGGAGGAAGCACTACTATTTTCAGAAGGAATTCCAGGCAAAATGTAGATTTGACAGGGTACTGCTTGGGCATAATCTACATTTATAGATTCTAGATAGAAAATCTTCACTTTTTGAGCTCTGGTCCACTTTAAGTGCCAATTGTAGCATTTCCTTCCGCTCCTGCCACACACACACACACACACACACACACACACACACAAAGACACTGTCCTACTACAGCTAAACTCACCTATGTACAAAGGCTCAGTTTTAACAAAAGCTATTAAAAAAGAAAAAAAAACCTCTTCGTTGCTAATAGCAGATCTGCTTAGTTCTGAATATAACCAATTAACAATTCTGTCTCAGTTTCTTAAGATGTGTGGTCAAATTAACACATGCGAGGTGTACTGGGGTTAATTTGTTACATTACAGATATTGTTATGCAAATGAGGCAGTAAGACAATACATGAGATATTTTCACACCATGGGTATGTAAATTTATCTGCAGACTTCATAACATCCATCTCTATCCAGTGACATGACCCTTAATAAATCTATAAATATCAGCAATGCTAGTTTAATGGTGTATACATGATATCCTGTGAGGTTTGCTTTTTTTCCATTTAATTATATAAGGGTTTTAGAAGGCACTAGAAATCTTCAGAAATACTTTTTTACCTTTCATTTTTTTTTTATTACGATGTTAACTCTACTAATCAGGTCCAATCTCTTCTCATAAAATTTAACCGGAATGAAAAAAGGCATGCAGGCTTTGGTGTATGGGTAACATTGAACAATGTAAGGGTAACTCTGCCATATTCAGCAGGGTATAGCAAATCAAAGTTTCCATATTATGGAATTTCTTAAAGCTCATTCTACATAAATATGGATATTGTGCATCAGAATCTTCCTCCTTTGGCGATAAAACAATATAAAAGTACATAGGCATATGCTGTGGTTTTAAAGTAGAACATAACATTTTTTTTTGGTTCTGGCCTTACCCCATCAGGAAGAGCTCTCCAACATACAGCACTAACAAACTCATTGGTGTCGTCTTCTTTGCGGTCTTTGTCCAACACACTCTTTACGGTGTCAAACTTGAAAGTCAGCAGGGTCTTTGAGAGACCCTTATAATACAGGTAGAGGGAATTGTTTTCACTTCCTAAGCAAAAGAGAAAATACACGTTCAGTCCTAAAGAATTCAGCATTTACTAAAATGTAATGAAAATTAGCTTTCATTCAAGTTTAGGCCAAGTCTTAAAAAAAAAAAATGAAATCCTTTGTTTTTGTTAATACATCACATTCTAAAACCAATATTTTTATAGTCCTTCAAAATGGCAATGACTAAGAACTGATCAGTTAAATAAAACAAATCCTGAAAGTTAAAGGGTGAGAGGCACACAGGCTGCAGTGAAGGAGGGCACCCATGCATTCTTTTATATGTGCTTGCCCCTTCCTCCTTTGTGCAGAACATGGGGGGCTGGGAGCATGCACCACAACTGGGTTGCCATGGATGATACCTTGGCTATAATTCAGTATATTTGCTTCATAGGCTTTAACTCAATATCTTGAGCCCTGTCTGAGGACATCTGCAGAAATCTTTATCAGCCATCAGGCAAGAAAACTGTGTTGGTAAGATGGTTGCAGAGTAGTCTTCAGCTGAAGGCATAATTGAAAAAAAATAGCTTTGAGTAATATGAGTGTAGACAACTGAGTAAAATAATGAGATGTGCATTATACTTCAGGTGTTTTATTGAACTACTCACTGTTAAACATCAAAACTGGTTTCTGCAGTGTTCATATTCTGCTTTTGAATCATGAGAACAAAATTAATGTCAAATGTGCCGTTATCAAGCCCCCATTGCACTCAAAGCTGTTCCCCAGAGCAGCGGCCCAGCCACAGGCACCTCGGTAGTTAGAATACACAGTTGCTGGTAAACCATTAAATCATCTACAAATTATTACAAAGCTCTGCTATCCCTCCTCCCCCTTATATTTCCTCGTATCCCCTCTTACACACTTCATACCCACAGGTCTTCTCCACTTTACTTATCACTTACCACATACATTATACACAATGACACATAGTGAGCCCCATACCAAGTTTATCCCAGACTTGCGTTCCAACTGTATTTCAAGCAAGCCTAATAATTCTAGCAGTTCCATGGGAAGACACCAAGCCCTCTATCCACAATGTTTGTTATATTCGGATTGTCAGGTACTCAACCGTCGAACCCCTTTGTAAATTCGATTTGTGTATATTTACATGTATGATCTCTACGCTTACAATAATAACATATTTAACAAAAATAAATGGATAACCATGCAGTCATAAGCAACCATTAAATATAAACAATTTACCTTATAAAATGTTTTCAGCAAAAATTGAGATACTACTTATGCTTTAAGACTTGCATTATGCAGTCTGTTTTATAGAATTAGTAATTTTAGACTGGAAGCAGCTCATAAGAGGTTGCTGCCCTGTCTTTGGCTAACTAAACTTGACACCAAGAAACTGGAAGATAGTGTGCAAGGTTAGGGAGATGACTCACAGGCACATTCAGACTTAAAATGGCTTCTGAGGCACGGTCACAAGTAGGGATGTTATGATACCAAGTACCGTACTTTGTACAAGTACAGATACTTTTCCAGCTCCAGGACTAGACTAGAGAAAAATTAAAAAGCTAGGAGGCAGCTGTCATTTTTAAGGAACATACGGAGGTCCTAGGATTTGTGCATCCCTGTTTTAATGTATGATTTTCTTTTTATAAACCTATATATTCGGGATGCACCAATAGCATTTTTTCCAGACCAAGTACAAATAGTTGTCCAAGTCCTCACAGATACAATTACCGATACATTTTTGTCAAGTGTCACGTGACAGTTTCTCTAAAACAATACAGACTAATGATTTCAGGGCAGTGGTGGAGCACCAGGGCCCAGTCACAGCTGCAACCCTGGTAGTTCTCCTGAAGACAAAACAGTAGTATATAAAAGCTAAAAAAGAAAAGGGTACAAAGATAAATGTTTATTAAATAAAGCAGGCCACACACTGCGTGAGGGTGAAGGATAGAAAAAAAAAAAAAAAGCTCCATTCCCTCACGCCGGGCTACTATCTTCTGACAGGGGCACCACTGTCGGAGTACTCGAACAGTGATTGCTGTCACTGTTTGGCCAAAAATGTTGGATCGACTCCAATTGAAAGTCAATTGAAAATTTGAATTTTGTCAAATGGAGGATTGCCAGCGGGGCCCCAAACTGTATGCATTTTAAGTCAGCAGAAAATTTGAGCAGTTCTTGGCCAGCTTTAGTCTGAAGAATTATGACTAGCTTTCTGCAAACTTGCAGCCATATGGACACTCCAGAATTAGGATAATGCTGTGTAAATACAACATTCCTCTAGAGAATACTATTTAATAACAAAGACCAGCTAATGAATTATTATTAGTATACACAGCTCTCCGGGGAAATTGTGGTAAACAATTGAAGTGTAAAATTAGAGTAGGCTCTCGGGGACACACAGAAAAACGACAAACTTGGGAGACAGTGAAATACTCACCACAGGCAATATAATCTCCGTTCGATGCTAAACCCACAAAATTCTTTTCATTGATATGACCTTTGAAGGAGCGCAGGCAATGTGGTCTGGAGACGTTCCACAGCTTCAGCTGGCTGTCTGTTGACCTAAAGATTTCAGAAGCAAGCTGTGATTAGTATTTATTGTGGTAATGAAGAGGTGCAGTGATGATGTATACATGTGCACATCTTCATTTTTATGAAGATTTTATTAGGACTGAAGCATAAAAATTCAAAATGTTCTCCATCAGGGTCAGACTGTATTCAGGTACCCCCCTCCCTGCCACCCATTGTATCATGATCAGTAAACACCAGCTCTGCCTGTACAAACAATACACTGAGTGTGTGTGTGACACACATTTCTTGCCCACCATCTGTCAACAGATGTCCTCCGTGTGATGGCTGGCATCATTCAACTTATTTCTGATGAGCCCAGGTTATGCCAGACCAACATCCAGTCTGTAAATGGACAGTGAAAGGAGAAGCAGCAAATTGATGTGCACATCTCTGTCACTCTGCTTTCTCTTCCTATCAGCATGCTTCTTGTCACCACATAAACTGAGGGGCTCCTTGTGCTGCTTCTTTCTCATACTCCAGCCTGGCTGAACGGGGATGAAAATAGGCCGATACCAGGTCATATACAGCTGCTTACACTGCTTATATTTAAAAATGTATTTAGTGATGTTTTACCGATTAGCCCTCAATCACAGTATAAAAAGCTGGCATGTACAGCTCCATGCTGTGTGCACCACCGTTTCAGGCAGCTCCTGGGAAGGACAGGTGCTGCGTGTGATTATTAAGCAGCCCTCCTTCTCTATGGGAGTACACGGCCGTACGCTGCCCTACGCTCACCCCAAGTGCGGGTCCATACAGGTGCATGTTTCCTGGCTCAGACGCAGACAGGATGGGTCCGGTCAGCGTACGAGTATGGACACCCGCACTAACGTGCAGGGCGGGTGAGAGTAGGGCGGCGTACCGCTGTGTACTCCCATAGAGAAGGACAGGAGTTGCGTTCTAATCGCACGCAGCACCTGTCCTTCCCGGGAGCTGCACAATACGACTGTGCACGCAGCACGGAGCTGTAAGTGGCCGGCCTTTTCTAGTGTGAATGAGACGGAGCTGTATTACTGTAAGTCTTTTATATCTGCATGGAGTTCAGCTTTAATTGGAACAATAGATTTAAAAAAAAAACAAAAAACACACACAACTTGCATCTTTTATTAAATCATACAATATATGAAAAAAAAGCCCCAAAGGATACATGTACGTTGCCAACTCTCAAACAAAATCTTCCTTGCAATGATTTTCTGGCATCTCTGAATGATTATCTACATTTATCAAATGTGCATTGCACCCATCGTCACTTCTAGGGCAATAAATCATTGCAAATGTATCCATATAACCTCCTTAAATTAATTCTGCATGCAGCTGTGGTTTAGACTAAGATAAGCATAATCACCCCTCCATTCCCAGACTACATTTGCTATCCACCCCTTGCATTCAGTATGTAAATAAGACAAAAGTGTAATTGCCCGATCTGTGACCAATAGCAGATGACCTGGGAGCAGAGGGAAATGTAAACTACGATATGCTAGATGGTGGGGCCACACTAGAAGTAGACAGTTTTCCTTCCTCAGCTCACAAACATCCATCACTGGCTGGGAAAAAGTGCAGGGGAAGCAAAGGCGTACTACATTTTAGTTGCAGAAAGAGAAGAATAAAATAAAGGAAGCAGCCTAATCAGGGTCTCTTTCTCTCTTGCAGTAGGAATGGGGCAGTGGTGGTGCGGTAGGAATGGGGCAGTGGTGGTGCGGTAGGAATGGGACTGTGGTGGTGTGCAAGGAGAGGTGAAGAGCCATGCCATAGGAAGTATGTCCTCAGAGCTGAAGGTTCATCTCCCCAGGTTTGACAGAGAATGCTGGGAAACCTGACTAATGTTTGTAAACCATGCCATTCAACTGGGAGGCGCATCGGAACAACGACTGCAAAATGAAAAATCGCATGTAATTATAAAGTTACATAGAAATGCCCTGTGAAGACATTTAGGCCGATTGTGGGGAAAGTAGCCTCTGTCATGAGGGAAATATAAGGGCTGTCATGAGGGAAATATAAGGGTTGCCATTGCAGAATGACTCCTGAAAATGCTAGTCAGCTGACCGCAGACCCAGAGCAAGCATGCTTTAAACAAGTGTCAGACCTCCCTCATTTCTTTCAGCTACCCAGACAGCATTGATTTCAAAGCAATAACATGACAGCCAGGGAACTAACATTCCCAATGGCAGCCTTTATGTGTCTGCCATAGTTTTCCTCATTCTGAAAATGCTAATTGCCAGGATGTCTCTGGCTTTAATACTTTCTAAATCACTTATGCAAAGTACGTGTGCAGCAAATAATGTTGAGGTAATGTTAGAACATCTGATGTGCATATTTGTTCCAGGTTGGTGACTCCGATTCAATACAGGTAACTGGCCTTTTGGTTTACTATCCTTTAACAACAAGCATTCCTTAGGTCATAGTATACGCTATGAATTTCGCACAGTGGGTGGCCTTGTCGGCCCCCATCTGGCTGGCATCCCTCGTTCAGAAGAGGTTAAAAACCAGTTGGATCTGCCCAGATCTAAGTACCTCGCTGCAACACCCCCAACCCAACCCCATATCCCACTCTCAAACCTTTAAAAATACTACAAAATTAAGCCACAAAAGAACTGCAATATAGAAATGTATTATTCTAGAAGTTTGATTCTGTCCTTGAGCAATCAGTAAGAGTGAAATATGTTCATTAACATAAACAGCTCTCTAAAATGAATGACTGGGGTACAGCAGCATATTGTCTTGATGAGCGCTGTAGGCATCACGAGCAATGGAGATAATGCCTTTCAGTAACCTTCCATACGAATACAGAGATCTCCATGGAGATCTGCAGATCTCATTTTGTAGTTTAAACTTGAGAGCAACAGACTTAACTTACTGAAACAATGATCAGATTGATGTGTGTGCCAATTATCAACACACTTTCGTTCTCTCCATTCTTCATCTAGAAAAGGGTGCAACCACAGCCCCTGAAGACTTTGCATTGATTATATTATGTTATAACTGCCTTGTTAGCTGTGCCAGCAAACAGAAGAACAGGAGTACCTTGAAGTGAACCTGTTGCAAAGCTACTGAATAGGCATTATCACAACTTATTGTTTATTGCATAAAATGTCCATCAACACATCAAACTGCTGTACCTTAGTCACTGATTTTATTGAACAGTTCATATGTTAATGAAAATGATTAACAAAGCTCAATAGTGCTCATGGGCAAAATCAAAATTGAAGAACAATTTTAGCAATACACAGTGTCAAACTGGTTGCTTGTGGCCTAGCCAGCAGTCACTGTTCAGTGTCCTTTGATGCGGAACCACCATTGCTGTGCTTACCGAAATATAGGAAAGAATTGCTAGCATACACAAATAGCTGTTTACACAGCTGTTCTAGAGATATATATATTTTTTTTTTTTTATTAGGGATGCAACGATATATCGGCCGAAATTGGCACTTTTGGCAAAATACAGAAAGTGCCATTTTTCTGCCGCTATAGCGGCGCATTCTGCTTTCTTTCCTCCCCCCTGGACGCTGCTCTGTGTCCCAGCGGGGAGGAGAGAAACGCTCACAGGAGAGCACTGAGTGGCCGGCGTCTCTCCCGCACAGCTCAGCCTCCTGTCACAGATCACGATAGCGGCAGTGTGCGGCGAGACAGCCAGCACTTTTGTCTTGCGATGGTTGTAAGGTAATTTAAAAAACGTACGATCTGCCCATCTTAGACAGGCAGATCGTACTTGCGATAATCGCAAGCCCGCCCCGCTGAGGGGCAGGCTTCCAACAACCGCACTGCTGAACGGGCAGTGTGCGCTTGCGCACACCGGCCCGTGCGGCAGTTATCTCACGATCATGCTACAAACCAGCCGAAAATCACATGATTCTTGGCTGGTTTTCGAACATGCTCGAAAGACAAAAGTTGTGCGACCTTACAGTAGAAACGGCTGCACGCCTTCCACACACCTTGCGATAATCATACGATCGCAGCATTTCCCGCGATTATCGTATGATTATCGCAAGGTGTGTGGGCACCTTTATACAGGAAGTGATTAAAAATCTCTTCAATATGGACACAGATGATAATGCAGATAACAATGGACACAGATAACAATGCAGATAACAATGGACACCTGGCATGTTTTATTTCCCATAATTCTATCCAAAAGGAAAACATTTTTACATAGAAATACACTTTAACAAGAGCCCATAAAGATCAGTGTCAACCTTAAACTACTTACGCAGAGACAATTTCTTCACCATTCACAAACTTGGCGTAAGAGACAGCTTTGCGATGCCCTTTAAAAACCATGATCGGCTGCTTAGTGTTGCGGAGGTCGTAGTAATGTACACAGTGATCTAGGGATAAGACGAGAATGGGTTAAAAAAGAACGTACATGAAAGAATATAGTTCTGTGTAGAAATATGAAGCCCCTACAAGATACAGGCCACTGCCTTGGCTTAATGTATAAAAAATGTCGCAACACATTGATTTTTGCTAGTGTGCATTCATTTTTTATGTAGAATCCTTAAAACAACAAATCAAAATTAGCACACGTTGGCAATACGCGTTATTGGATAATTTGTTACCAAGACACAGGCCACACAGGCTATTTAGCAGAGATTGATTGCAGGAATGAGAAAACAGGGTCGTGTTACTCGGAGACCGATTTCTTGGACGCTGTCCTACGCACGGCAATGATTGGGATCATGGACCAAATCTCAATGATTGGGATCATGGACCAAATCTCTCCGCAGTACAGGGAGCACTAATCTTCTCCATCCCAGCAAGCAGTACAGTGACCTATGGCTGATGAGCTTGCCCGGAATAGCTACGTCTTTATGTAGCCTATTACTGCCTGTCATTTTCTGACAATAAGAAAGTTTTGACAGCCTCAGTGTTGAGGAAATAACCACTTAGGTCATTTTGTTTTTCTTCTACTTAACTAAATGTAAAGCTCAGATCTACCTTTCTGATTAATATCAGGGAATGAACATTATTCTGTTAAAGAAAAACTCCACTTCTAACCCTATTTTTCAATGTCTGTACAAATTCTTCAAAATTACTTCAACCACCACAACGAACCTCACTCTTAGGGGAGACCTCACTGCACCTTGATAACATGCTTGCGTTACAGCACAAACACAAAGATTGCAACTTACATGCACCAATTTGTGCGATTTCCCCTTTCCTTGTACGACTGACAGTGATGCTCCGATTTGCAAACAATCTTTCAGTATCGCAAGCTGAAATCCATTCTTCACATATTCCTTTGGAGAAATATGGAGGAAACGCACTGCAGGTGACACCAGAAGCCTGACTGAAAAGGCGATATTGGCACACCACTGACATGCTAGGGTTGGGTTGGAGCAGCCTGTTGGAAACCTGCTGCTCAGAGCAGATGAGCTACAGCATGAAACTTTACAACAATACAGACGTGGGAGTTCTATCAGCAATTTCCCGATGTTTATCTGGTTAAGAGGAATAAGCCGTCATTCTGCAGCACCACCGGCCCCAGTGTTAGCAATCACACACAATCTGTGGTCATGTATAAGTGCTTTACCGGCTACAGTAGCTTGCATAAGTATTCACCCCCTTGCCATTTTTCCTACTTTGTTGCATTACTACCTGGAATTACAATTGTTTTTTTGGGGGGAGTTTGTATCTAGAGCTGCAACAGTTAATCGATTAAGTCGATTAAAATCGACGATTGAAAACGTTGGCAACGTTTTCGATCGTCGACTATCGATTGCTTAGCCTGTTCGGGGCTCCGCACGCGGCCTGAGTCGCACGTCACACGCTGCTCCCGACGTGTCCACCGCACAGGCCGCCGCCGCATAAGCCACGCCCACCGAACAGGCCGAAGCCGCGCACGCTGCTCGTCTCCTAGCCGTGAGCTCTCTCACCCGCCGCAAGTACATTATTGTATAATGTTGTACTATTGCTGGCATTTGTTGTATTCCTATATAGCTGGTGGTATACTGCATTTCGCCGTATTATCATTATACAGCGCACTGTAGAGGACTACAAATCCCAGCGATAATAAATGATATACAGCGCAATGCAGAATAACGCCAGCTATAGAGGAATACATCAGATCCCAGCAATAATACATTATATACAGTGCAATGCAGAATAACGCCAGCTACAGAGGACTACAAATCCCAGCAATAGTACATTATAGTATAATGTACTATTGCTGCATTCCTCTATAGCTGCTGGTATTCTGCATTGCGCCGCTGTATAATGTACTATATTGCACACCACACTTTTTTTTTACTTCCACCGTGCCAAGCTTGCTCCTGTGATGGACTACAATCGCAATAGAAACTAGTAGTCCATCACTGGAGCCTTTTTTTTTTAATCTGATTAACCGATTAATCGAACTTAATAATCGGCCAACTAATCGATTATGAAAATAATCGTTAGCTGCAGCCCTATTTGTATCATTTATTTTGCACAACATGTCAACCTCTTCAAAGATGCAAAATATTTTTTTTGTGATGCAAACGAAAAAATAAGAAAAAAAAACAGAAATCATGAGCGTGCATAACTAATTGACCCCCACTATACTTTGTAGAGCCACCTTTTTCAGGAATTACAGCTGCACACTCTTGGGGTTTGTTGCCCATAATTCAAAGCAAAACTGCTCCAGCTCCTTCAAGTTGGATGGGTTTCGCTTGTGTACAGCAATCCAAGTCATGCCCCAGATTCTCAATTGAATTGGGGTCTGGGCTTTGAGTAAGCCATTCCAAGACATTTAAATGTTTTCCCTTAAACCACTCGAGTGTTGCTTTTGCAGTATGCTTAGGGTCATTGACCTGTTGGAAGGTGAACCCCAGTCCCAGTCTCAAATCTCTGGCAGACTGAAACAGGTTTTCCTCTACAATTTCCCTGTTTTTAGCGCTAGCGATCATTCCTTTAATTCTGACTAGTTTGCCAGTCCCTGCCGATGAAAAAAACATCCCCATAGCATGATGCTGCCACCACCATGCTTCACTGTGGGGATTGTGTTTTGAGGGTGATGAGAAGTCTTGGGTTTGCACCAGACATGGCGTTTTCCTTGAAGGCAAAAAAGCGAAATTTCCGTCTCATCTGACCAGAGTACCTTCCTTCCATATGTTTGGGGAGTCTCCCACATGCCTTTTGTTGAACAGCAAACATGTTTGCTTTTTTTTTCTGTAAGTAGCCAGCTCTGTGGAGTGTATGGCTTAATGTGGTCCTATGGACAGATACTCAAATCTCCGCTGTAGAGCTTTGCAGCTCCCTCAGGGTTATCTTTGGTGACTTTGTTGCCTCTCTGATTAATGCCCTCCTTGCCTGGTTTGTGAGTTTTGGTGGGCAACCCTCTCTTGGCAGGTTTGGTGTAGTGCCATATTCTTTCCATTTTTTTATAATGGATTTAATGGTGCTCTGTGGGATGTTCAAAATTTTGGATATTTTTGTAAAACCCAACCCTGATCTGTACTTCTCCACAACTTTGTCCCTGACCTGTTTGGAGAGTTCCTTGGTATTCATGGTTTCGCTTGCTTGGTGGTGACCCTTGCTCAGTGGTGTTGCAGGTGTTGGTGTTTTTCAAAACAGGTGTATATACTGAGATCATGTGACACTAAGATTGCAGGCAGGTGGTCCGTATTTAACTAATTATGTGACTTATGAAGGTAATTGGTTGCACCAGATCTTATGTAGGGGCTTTGAAGCAAAGGGGGTGAAATACATATGCATGCAGTATTTTTCCATTTATTTCTTATAATTTTTTTTTAAAAACAAGTTACGTTCTTGATTTCACTTCACTATTTTGGACTATTGTGTGTATGTCCATTACAACAAAATAGAAAAAAATGCCAAGGGGGGTGAATACTTTTGCAAACCGCTGTACATGTATGCATGTACAGTGCAATTGCAATTCATTACTTTTCAATAAAAGTATTTATTGCAATAGATCTCAGTCTCCTTTTTCCTTTAATCTTTCAAAGTGATTATTAGAGACCGGTTATTCTGAGGTAATACCACTGCTCTTAAAAAATAAAGCGTACTAATTGCCTCAACATAATGTAGAGAGTAGTGTTTGAAGGCAATGTACCAAGAAGCCTTCATTTTTTCCTGAAGAAAATAAAACAAGAAAATAATCGGAGACTGGGTATACCGAGTTCCATAACTACCTCCCAATTATGAGAGCGTTCATATTGTTATTGGATCCAGCAGTATATAGAGCCCAATGTATGAAGGTAACATAATAAAAATACTATATCCTAGGTACTCCTTTTTATTTTTTACAGGAAAGCACCAGAAACTGTGTATACAGAGGTAATACCTCTGCGCCTAATAAGGAGAGCACTAATATTGCTAATAGACTAAACATAACATGGAGCACGGTGTTTGATGCTAACATACTAAGATGCCTTATGCTGACTTTTGTCGAAGGAGCCAGTCTTGAAATTCTTGGCCGAACAGCTCTTGCAAACATGCATGTGCTGTTTGGGCATTTAGCAGTTGCTAAAGCAGCGGCTGCTTAATTCACTAGCCAACAGCAGGGATTCCTCTGCTTAGCGTGAATCAATTAATTTCAGAGATAATAGTGCAGATCTCACTCTCCAAAAGTATCTGCATCACAAGAAAAGCTTGTGGTGGGTGGAACCAGTTAGTATCACTCTAACTGGGGAATACTCTCTGGTTACTTGACACAGCACACTCATTTCAGGAAAGTGCCAAAAAGCAGAACTTATAGCAGGCTTCCCAGTTAATTAGTTATCTGCATCTCAGAGACTGGGTTACACTGAAGGCAGAACCACTGCTCTGAATGAAGAGTACTCTGTGGCTAATTGACACAGTTGTAAATAACATGGCCAGAGGGCGATTTTTGTATGACCCCTAGCAACAAGTGTGACCATAGTAATGGCCATATTACCTCATATGTAAGGTACTTGCACTCCATATTTTCTGCTACAGTTATATTAGATACATATGCACTAGGGATGCACCGATGCTAGTATCGGTGTGGATACCGAGTATTTGGGTGAGTAATCGTACTCGCCCACATGCTCCCAATGCTTATCATTACCCGCCCCCCGGCTTCCAGATTGGCCTGAAAGCCAGCTGGAGCGGGTTTCCCTGCTAATCAGGAAGGTGGGCGGCGAGTCATTACACGCCACCCTGCTTCCTTAACCTCCTTGGCGGTATTCCCGAGTGTAGCTCGGGGTTACTTCTCCATACCCTGAGCTACACTCGGGAATATCCCACTGTATTTACTTACCTTGTCCCTCGAGCCGTGCGGTGTCCTCCGGCCGGCATCTGTCTTCCGGGTTCCGTCCCTTGTGAGCGAACGCGTCGCACGGGGGCGGAACCGGCGGGAGATTCT